AGCCCTGTATCATTTAGGGGTTACAGCAGTGACAGGTTAATGGTTGGACAGGATGATCTTAGAGGTCTCCTCCAACTTTGATGATCCTATGACTCCTGGCAGTCTTACACCTATGTTTCAAGTGGCCAAAGGATCTATAGGACTGGCTTGCTGGCACAAACTGGTAATTTTGCAACAATATATGAAAGGAGCGAGTGAAAGACGTCTAAAACTTAAAACTTGCCTTTCATATCCTCTTAGGGCAACTTTGAAGCCTAAAAGCACCTTGTCAATCATTTATACCAAATGCTTGTGCCTGTTTTAAGAACACTGTACTCATTTTGACATCTGGATGTGGCACTTGGGGACATGGTTTAGGGGTGATTATGGTGGTGCTGGGGTAAGAGTGGGACTGGATGATCTTGAAGGTCTCTTCCAACCTTGATGACCTTGTGATCCTGTGCTTTTCTGCAGAGCAGCTTTCAAGTTTCCAGTGGAGATGAATGACACCTTCATCAGGAAGAACACTGGAAATCTATGGACATTTTTGGACTCATGATTATCTACTATTAGGCAGCAACACACTGCTGGGTGCTCTGTGGATGTGCATTTTCTGCCTGCAGCAGCTTTCAGCCTGCACAGGGCACAGCCAGCACAGGCCCAAAATAAAAACTGCACAGTTGGGCAAGATGAACTAGTGGAACTAGTGCAGCATTTCACAACAGTAGTTTGGAAAAACCTTCCCAGTGGTCTAGTGGTGGAGACATCTGAGGAAAAGAGGCTTGTCAGTTCATGACGAAGGAACTCCAAACAAAGAAGGACATGGAAGTCCATCTTTTAGCTGCTCAAGCTGCTCACCTTTCATCCAGGTGAGAGTACAAGCACATTAGCTGCTTGACTGGGGAGAGCAGCACAGGGAGGTGGCAGTCAGAGATGGCAATGGTTTAGCCAGAAGGAGACATCAAGACTGGCAATGTGCAGAGACAGGGAAAAAAAAACACCCCAGAAGAAAAAAGAAGGGCCCATTAACAATTATCAGAGAAGAAGAGGGATAGGTTTGTGAAGTGGAATATGTCTAAGCTTGGCAAACACCCAAAAGGAGTGTGACAGCAAACTACAAATATTTGGAAAGTTGCAAACATTGAGGCAGGGTAGGAACTCAAGAGGGTGATGCATGGGGGATGTAATCAGAAGGATTTGCAAAACACAAAAATAGCAGGAAAACAAAAAAAACCGAACCACTTTGACAATGAGATGTATCAGCCTCTGTGTTATGGGAATGGGTGGAAATGCCCTGGAGTTGAGACCTTTTACATGAAATGAAGGTTCAGGAAACATCAGTAAGTGTACAATGGAATATAGTTGTGTTAGAGTGAGGAGGATGGATGAGACTTCCCAAGAAGACATAGAAAACTCTTCTCCCCCTTATTCTTTTACAAAATACATAGGACCAATATTCTCGTACACAACCTAAACATTTTCAGAGCCTGGTTTGAGGAGTACTCACTCCACTGATTTCAAAGTACATCTCATCCTAACCTTACCACCCTGGCTGTTTTATTAGTTTTCTGGAAAATATAAAAATATTTTCTTTTAAAAACTGATGGGAAGGGAATCTACAAGAAAGATGGAGAGGGATATTTGACAAGAGCATGTAGGTTTTATCTCTTCATCATGAGGGGACTCCATAAGGCCATCTGCCGTGACTCCAGCCCTGTCCCAGGATTTGGACCCTTTTAATGTCAGGATGTTGTTCCCATTGCAGGGGATCGCAGCCAGGCAACACAATCTGGCAATCTTGCAGGCAGCTCTGTGAGCACTGGGGATGCTTTGGAGGCCTCCAGGCACGTCCTTGCCAATCCAAACAAAGATGGGTGTTTTATCTGGATTTTTAAGTGTTTAATTAAAAGCTGGTTCAAAAATACACTTACCATGTTGAGCTGGAAGTACACAAGAAGCACATAGTGAGCAGCTGTAGATGTATTTCCACTAAAAGGCAAATTATTTTCCTTGTAGTCAACACGTAGGTGTGACTACCTCAACTTTCTAAATAGTGAGTGACTAACCTTTTCCAAGAGTTCAGTTTATCTAACCTTGCCATGAGTTTTTATTTTGGAAGAGATATAGGCTTACAGTGCTTATTTCCCAAACAATCACAAGGCTTATGATGCCACTGCTGAGGTCTCACACATTAGTAACCTAATCCTGTGCTTATAAAGTGCCACCAAGACACCCATAACATGGGAGCCTGGCATGGCACTGAGTAGTGCTCCCCAAGACAGCTATGCAGAACATTGGCTATAAAACCTGAAACCACACCTGTTTTGTCTGAAAAAGAGACAAAAGACCTGCAAAAAGGAAGGATACAGAGGTCTGAGCTCTCTGGGGTCTCTGCAGTAAACACAGAGAGCCACTCATAAATGTCAGTGCTGATTTTCCAGATCAATTCTTGATATGATGTTGCAAAAAAAAAAAAAAGTGGAGTTGTGCCATTAGGCAGCAGAAGTAGTTTTAGGGGCCAGGGTACAGTGTGGGAAGCCTCTAAATGTAGGAGAGAAAAAAACCCCTCCTACTATTTGTAAACAGCTGGGATGGACTGCAGTGACAAATTAACAAGTTATCATTCTAAAGTGAGGAATAATGGAAATGATTCATTATTCACTCTATTTACTACTAATGATACAGTCTGTATTAAGAGCAAGGGGACATGGTAATCCAATATATGACTCAGTATGAAGGTACAGCTCAGGCTGAGAGTTTGCAGCATAGTTTGATGGCAACAAAAGGTACTTTCTGAGTATCAATATTCTTCTTTAGACGTCTCTTTTTAGAATTAATTCTCAATCTTGGCCATGGAGCTGTAAAAGAACTGGGTATGGTTGCAATCTCTTGGCAAAAGGAGCTCAGGACAGGAATGGGAAGGCACAGTTAAAGAAGGGCTGCAAGTGTTTTAGCAGAACTGTCTGGAAAAGAAGATCCACAGCACCTGTCTAATTTGAACTTTGGCAATTTGGGCCTACATTTTCATGGTTGCCACATTTCGCAAACCAAAAAATTTCACAAAATAACTAGTGGTGTCCTCCAGAGTTCCATACTGGGCCCAGTATTGTTCAACTTGTCCATCAGTGACTTGGCTGAAGGGACAGAGTTGCCTTCTCAGCAAGTTCCTGATGATACAACACTGGGAGGAGTTAGAGACACCTCAGAGGGTTGTGCAGCCCTTCAGAGGGACCTCCACAGTTTGGAGAGATGTGCAGAGCAGAACCAACTGAGATTCAACAAGGGCAAGTGCAGGTCCTGCCCCTGGGGAGGAACAACCCCAAGCACCAGGACAGGTTAGGCACTGACCCACTGGAGATCCAGCTCTATGGAGAAGGACCTGGAGGTTCTGGTGGACAACAAGGTGTCCATGAGTCAGCAGTGTGCCCTGGGGGCCAAGGAGGCCAATGGGATTGTGGGATGCATTAAGAAGAGCATTGCCAGCAGGTCAGGGAGGTGATCCTGTCCCTCTGCTCAGCCCTGGTGAGGTCACACCTGGAGTGTTGTGTCCAGTTCTGGGCTCCTCAGGGCCAGAGAGTCATGGAGCTCCTGGAGCAGGTCCAGGGGAGGGCAAGGAAGATGCTGAAGGGACTGGAGCACCTCAGTGATGAGGAAAGGCTGAGGAAACCAATAAAAAAAGAGGCAATGAGTAGAAACTGATGCCCAGGAAGTTCCATCTGAATCCAAGGAAGAACTTCTTTCCTGTGCAGTCACTGAGCACTGAACAGATTGCCCAGAGAGGTCGTGGATTCTCCCTCACTGGAGGTATTCAAGAACCATCTGGACACAACCCTGAGCCATGTGCTCTGGGTTGACCCTGCTTAGGGAGGTGGGACCAGATGATTCACTGTGGTCCCTTCCAAGTTAACTGATTCTGTGATCCTCTGTGTTTTAACTTGGTAAGTAGCAGATCTGCTAAGGGTGTCAAGCACTAAAAATGGAAACTACAGTGTCAATCTGAATTGCCATGCTAGGCCAAGCTTATTTTATTACATACATTCTGCATTCTAAGTACTAATATGTTCATAATGTAAACATTAAAGCATACAGAGTTAAAATTCAAGGCCACAATAGTTTGGATTGTCCTTTTTCTTGGTTTTTTTTTGGTTTTGTTTTGTGTGTGTGTGTGTGTCTTTGGTTGGCCGAGATCAACTCGTAGTGTATAAATGCATAAGTTATAGAATAATTATATAAAAAGGAAAAAAAATAACATTGACTTGTATAACTTCACTCTGACAAACGCACAGCGTTCGCGACTCGGTACAGAAAAACTGGCGCCCGCCTAGCAAAAATACTCCGGTGACTTTGGCAGTCAGGGGTTGTCCCTTGCTTGAACCAATACAAAACCAACTCCCTTCATAATGATGAGGTTCTAACTGGTAGTTTTTAAATATCAAACACAATTCCAGTTTTACTTTGTTGCAACAAAAATAAAAAAAAGAGAGATGTATATTCTAGTTTTTGGAATTCTTCTGCGTTTCCCTTTTCCCACTTCTTTCCTTACTAGGAAATCAAGTTTGTTCCTCCTGAAATACTGGGAATGGTATAATACTGAGCAATATGTTTCACAAGTCCCAACAAGTGTTTCTTCATAGTCCCAACGCTACTAAGTTTTCAGTCTTTACAGTCTCTACTGGTAAAGAAGTTTCTTTTCTCCCATTCTTACCACCTTCATCCTCCTCTTTCTCCTTCCTACCTCCTCTGGCAGGTGCAGGCCTCTGCTCTACAATCATACACTTGCCCTTCAGCACATTCTCAATTCCAATGTTTGGCTCAGGGTTCCTGTAATACTGTCAAGGAATCTGAAAGTTTGGGTTGTCTTCACAGTTTGAGTAGCTGATTAGCTATGATGAATGGAACACATCTGACTTTCAAACAATGCTGTTATATTCTAAATCAGCTTCCACACTCACCAGTCTCTTCTGTTGATATGTTTCTATTTTTTAAATACAGGTAGGGTGGGTTTTTTTCCTTTTTTCCCTCCATTTCCCCCCTCTTTTGTAATGATCCATATACTGTATGTTAGGTCACTATTGACTTATATTGCTGTAGTATAGTCCCAGTTTTGCACTAGCAAGATATCAAACTTTACACATAAGCTTATCAACTTTTTTAAGACCATCAGCTTCCGTAGGTTTTCCTTATCATTTCATGCTTCCACCTACAATAGTCTATTGTTGTTTGGTCCACAGAGTCGATGCCCATATACATTACATTTTAGTATCTTAATACTTCTTGAATATTTCCTTTATATCCCTACTACAAAGAGTCTTTTTGACATCTGTTTTTTGCATGTGGCTTTTTTTTTTTTCCCAGCCAAACCTTCACTGGTCTCTTTAGGCACTTTGAATTCATGTACTCCAATAGAGTTCATTGCCATTGATCAGGGACTGGATCCCAGTGAGAAGTGTCTTTGTTTGCTTGGTCTGTTGTTGCTTTCTCCCCCCCACTTAGTAGTAGGTGCCAAGATGAGAAGGCATATGAGCAGCTGGCAGCCTGGTATTGGGGTAGATCCCTCCAGTTGGTGAATTCCAGTATGGATTTGGGGCAGCAAAAAAGCTTGACGATGTTACAGGCAAAGCAGGAGGGTGAGGAGCTACAAAGTTCATCTTCTGAGGGTGTGCGTGGTAGGAGCTCATGTAGGGGAGGTCTGAGGGGTATTTGTACATGGATGACTCCGGGGGGTGAGGCTGGAGAGCTTGAGCGATTCCGTGGAAATCAAATTTGTAGGCATATCGCTTACCATGGACCTTAGTCATGATGTTTTTGTCATAGTAGTAGCGAAGGGCGCGGCTGAGTTTGTCATAGTTCATGTTGGGTTTGCTTTTCCGCTCGCCCCAGCGCCGAGCCACCTCGTCGGGGTCAGTCATCTTGAACTCCCCATTGGTGCCCTCCCAGGTGATGCAGTTGGAGTTGGAGCTGTCTGAGAGGAGCTCCAGCAGGAACTGCCATAGCTGGATCTGCCCACTCCCTGCAGGGAGAAACAAAGCAGAAATGTCAAGGCTTAGTGACTAATAATGTGAAGCCATCAATTCTTCAGGCTCTCACCAAGGACCCCATTAGGAAATGTTGCAATGTTGGTTCCTAATTCTTACTCTTAAGCAGTCCCCTGTCTCCCAGGCCTGTCTCATGAAACCCTGAAGAGCAGAGCTAATGGTAATGTGTCATGTTTTCCCTCATGTGAGTGGCAGAGTGCCATTCCATGGAGATTTAATTGTTACTTAATGTCATTCAGCGCAGACAATTGATGGGGAAATAATCCAGCGCTCATTTAGGAAACTAATCTCTAAAGTTCAGGACAAACAGCTTTCACTTGCGTAACATTTCGCTTGTTCTCACAGCGTTATGTTGCAACTAAATGTTCTCTGCTATGGAATGAGCCTACACAAAATGGAGAAGTTTAGAGAAGGTTGAGCTCGTGCCAAACCATATCATCCATTTGCAGCATTTGGGGAAATGCAGAACGGAAACTTATTAGTTTGCTGTTGCACTGCACATAACCATGGGGCAAAACATTTGCAAGACCAGTGAGAAGGTCCATAAAGGTCCATAAAACACATTCTTCTCATCATTCTGCTTCAAATGAGTTGGAATTATAATCTTAAATTAAGGCTTAAAATGTGGTTGCAGTATTTTTCTCACTCTCTGCCAATTTAATCTCCGGAAGAAAATAATCAATCTGCTGTAAACTCTGCAGAAGTGAATTCTAGCAACAAAATTTGGCCATTTTAGACAGCTGAAAGTAGATTTCAAAGGGCCTTGCCACTGACAGTCATGGTAAAAGCTTAGTGTTTCTTAATAAAGCAGCACTGAAATGATGCAAAACGCAGCTGAAGCAGCTTGCAGGGCAATCTGTTTCACAAGCACAGTGTCAGCAGAATTTGCCAACCAGCTTCTATGTGCTAACTTCTAAGTACATCTCTGACCAGGAATCAGTTGGCTTTCTTTTTTTTTTCCCCCTCCAAACCAGCTCTGTGGCCATAATAAACAACTTTTCTTTAGAAAAGCTTCTAGTAGCCATTACAATATCAAGCTAAAACAGCATCTGAAATCCATTAGCAGTTTCTACTTCAGTGCAACTGAAACCCACATTCACTTCAATGATATTTATCCAAACTGTCCTTAATGAATTTCTTCTGTTCCATTAACATGCATTAAATAAACAAACAAACAAAAGAATCCGTGGTATGAGCAAGGCATGCAAGTTTTAATACACCAAACATAACAAGAGGATTAGCCTTTGAAAATCAATAAACAGTTCAGCACTGGACAAAACACAAATTTGGGGAATAAGCAATCCAACATATGTTCTAACATAAACACTTGCCTTCCAAATGTATTATAGAGTCCTATGAAAATAAATGGTTGCTGTCAATTTCCTTTTAATGAGAGAGAGTAATTCCACCCATTTATAAACACACAAAACATGTTAAAGCACAGGAACGATGGGGTGTAGGAATTCCATATCCAAATGTTAAAAGAGAAGCAGAATGTCCAGACCATGTTAGTGTCATCCACAGGAATGAAGTTTACCAAAGTTGTAATAGCCCTGATTTATGAACAAATTAAAGGGATGTTGGCCCCCACTTCCAGTTAAAACCAGTGCCTCCTGGAAACCCACAGCCTCAGGCCGTTTGGAAAATCCTGTTCTTAACACTTACTTAATTGCTTTCCTCTGCCACACAAAACAGTTTAGAAAGTTAGCTAATCTAGAACTGTGTTGGATGTCCCTTGAGAGAAAGTGAAAGGAAAGGGATCAGTGTTGTGGCAGTTTGAAGCCTTGGAAAGCCATACAACTGTTTTAAGAAGAAATATTGCCACTGGGGCTTGAGGAGAATGTGGAATGAGGAATGCTGTGCCCTGTGGCTGCTCAAGCAAGTGAAAAAGGAAGTGGAAGGTTCAATGTCAATTCATTGTGGCAGATGAAGGTGTTGATTGTGGTGTTGTATAGCCACAGTGTGTCCTGTGGACTTGGAGCAGCAATAGTGAAATCTGCACAGCTCCCAGTCAGAGCTACTAACTTTTCAAGAGGGTCCTTTGTCTTTAGCAAAAAAATACTGGTCAAAGGTTGGACTTGATGATCTTAGAGGTCTTTTCCAACCTCAATGATTCTGTGATTCTATCCTATGCTACAATCCCTTGTCCACAATGCACCCCATTGCCTTCTTCAAGTGGGAGAACATTTTTGAAGTGTTTAGCCCACTTATTCTTTGCAAATAGATTATGCTTTCCTGGGTTTTTTTCCTATTTCTGCTGGCTTGGGTTATTCATCCCAAAATATTGTATTTGCCAAGGCCAGCATGGTGCTCTGTTGTGGATTAACAGATTCTGGGACACATATGATGCAGATTGGTAAGAGACTCACACCTTGCTGGATGAGTACCTGGAGGCCAGATGAGGTATCTTAGAGTGCTTAACAAAATCCTGATGTTTAGGCAACTGAAGTGAACACCAACTTCAAAGGTTGGACTTGATGATCTTGGAGGTCTTTGCCAACCTTAATGAGTCTATGATTCCTGTTGATATGAGGAGTTCAGATACCTCTAATGAGGCACTTGAGCAGCTGAATGTTACCATCATCTCCAGGATGATTTGACTAAGTCTCAACAGAGAGCTGTACAAACTACATCTCCAATGAATATTATGGAAAATCAGACATCCATGTGACACCTACACTGAGGTTCATGAGTTTCTGTCTTAATCTGTCACCCCAGACCCACCCTTGTGTAACTCGGAAACCTAATTCTGCAACACATTGGGTATCATCAGCTCCCACTGAGTTGTACTGAAGAGTGGCAAAATCAGCCCCATCCCCTCCCAAGTCAGGTCTTAGAGTTGAAGTGTGTAGAGAAATCCTCCTAAATCAGCAGAATCCCTTCTCACCTGGATTTGCAAGTCGGCTGCTGGTTGGTCCAAGAATCTGATATGGATCTACAAAATGGTGAAAGAAAGATTTAAAATCACATAACAATGGTGTCAAATATTATAGGTGTTCTTTTTTAACCTTGTAATGGGCAGTGTGTACTGCCTGGTGGGACAGCAGGTCCAGCACCTACGTAATTCCTCTCTCTGCACTGCAATATTTGCATGTTTTCCTTTCAAACCCAGTGTGAAGAGTTGCAAGGATACACATTTGCCTTTTGTACTGTGATAGTGTGCACATAAATTCAGACATACTGCAAATTTTGCTCTAAAGTGTTCTGATTCCTACGAAATACACATGGACACAGGCACCCTTTGGTACTGTCAACCCTGCGGGGATCACAAGTGCTGGAGTGAGAGTCATAAAGGACAGTGATCTCTTCTCTTGTGAGGCCACGTTTGTTTCTCCTGAGCCACTATCAACCTTTTCTGTGCCAAAAGAGCCTCCAGAAGAAGGCAGAGAGGACATGGCTGGATGCTGGCAATGTGGCTGGGTCAACTGGAAGAATTTCTTCACTGGAAGGTTGGTCAGGCATTGGAAGGGTCTGCCCAGGAGGTGGTGGAGTCACCATCCCTGGAGGTGTTCAAGAAACAACTGGATGTAGCACTTAGTGCTGTGGTTTAGTTGATGTGGTTGTGAACAGTCAAAGGTTGGACTTGAGAATCTTGGAAGTCTTTTCCAAGCTAAATGATTCTGTGATTCTGTAATTCTCCCTTGTCCCTAATCAGGTTAAATTCCTTATATATTCAAATAACCTGTGCAGCTCATACACAGCCATTAAATGGTCCTAAGGACTTACATAAATCATCAGTATATTTCTAGGAAGGTGCTCATGGTTGGAAGGCCAGATTAGATAAAACCCTGTTTGAGCAAAAAGCAGTGCAATACTTCCCAGGCAGTGTATGTATGGGTTAATGAGATGCAGTCATGTGCACAGTCTTATTTAGCTATAACAAAAACCAGAATAATGATTTAAAATCCATGTGATAAAATCTGGCTCAGAATCTTCTGAGCTAAGAATATCCTCTAAATCTCTTTTATTTCCTCCTTCTAACCTTTTGCTGTTAACAAAAGCCATAACTGACTCAAAACCTCTGTAGTGCTTTCCAGCTACCTGTCCAAAGCACAGCTGAATCTGCAGGAAGGGATTAGGTCCTACCCCATGGATTTGCTGCTTTGAAAACACAAAATGCACCCATTTTGCAAAACCATCAGTCTACAAACCCATAAACTTCTACTTTCTCCTCAGTTTCCCAATAGACTGAGAATCCTTCTAATATTCCTGTTGCATTTCAGGAGCCAAATTCCAATAGGTTTCTGAATGCTGTAATTTCTTTTCATTCCTCTGCTCATGCACATTTTCCAGCTGCTGGTATTTCAACTGCTAAGGTCTTCTGGCATCCTTACCTTCCACCTTTGTACCTAAACTGCACATAGGTACTTTTTTTTTAACAGCATTTTCACTCTGCAAAGTTGTCACTGCCATTAAACATTACTAAAAGCAATTTTGAATGGCCACAGGAGCTTTCATTTCTGATCCAGCTGTAGACCAAATACATACACATCTGGGGTTTTAGTGGTCACCAGCTAGAGATGTCATCAGTGGTCTGAACCAGATGGTGCAATTTCTGGTTGGTAGGTGAGAGCTTTCCTATTCAACAAACCCCATCACACCCAGGCATAATCCAAACAAAATGACACCCACCTAACTGAGGACGTTGGTCTTCTGTTTTGGGAACTGTTGAGGATGATGGCTGAGTAGCTGAAAATAGAGAAAACCCACATGGAGTTATTTTTCCAGTTAGGAAGTTGGTCACCAAACCTATTATACATCACGAGCCTGG